CACGAGATCTAGTCATATTTGACTCCAAAAACACTAACCAAGCTTCTTATTGCTTCTCAAATCTTTGTGGGTGTGGCCGAAGTCCTATGAGTTTTCGGTTTTGGAGCTTCTAAACAGAAAAACAGTACTTTAGCTTTTGGGATCCGGTTGCGGTTCTAGTTCTTATACCCAATCATAAACACAAGATCTAGTCATATTTGACTCCAAAAACACTAACCAAGCTTCTTATTGCTTCTCAAATCTTTGTGGGTGTGGCCGAAGTCCTATGAGTTTTCGGTTTTGGAGCTTCTAAACGGAAAAACAGTACTTTAGCTTTTGGGATCCGGTTGCGGTTCTAGTTCTTATACCCAATCATAAACACGAGATCTAGTCATATTTGACTCCAAAAACACTAACCAAGCTTCTTATTGCTTCTCAAATCTTTGTGGGTGTGGCCGAAGTCCTATGAGTTTTCGGTTTTGGAGCTTCTAAACAGAAAAACAGTACTTTAGCTTTTGGGATCCGGTTGCGGTTCTAGTTCTTATACCCAATCATAAACACGAGATCTAGTCATATTTGACTCCAAAAACACTAACCAAGCTTCTTATTGCTTCTCAAATCTTTGTGGGTGTGGCCGAAGTCCTATGAGTTTTCGGTTTTGGAGCTTCTAAACAGAAAAACAGTACTTTAGCTTTTGGGATCCGGTTGCGGTTCTAGTTCTTATACCCAATCATAAACACGAGATCTAGTCATATTTGACTCCAAAAACACTAACCAAGCTTCTTATTGCTTCTCAAATCTTTGTGGGTGTGGCCGAAGTCCTATGAGTTTTCGGTTTTGGAGCTTCTAAACAGAAAAACACTACTTTAGCTTTTGGGATCCGGTTGCGGTTCTAGTTCTTATACCCAATCATAAACACGAGATCTAGTCATATTTGACTCCAAAAACACTAACCAAGCTTCTTATTGCTTCTCAAATCTTTGTGGGTGTGGCCGAAGTCCTATGAGTTTTCGGTTTTGGAGCTTCTAAACGGAAAAACAGTACTTTAGCTTTTGGGATCCGGTTGCGGTTCTAGTTCTTATACCCAATCATAAACACGAGATCTAGTCATATTTGACTCCAAAAACACTAACCAAGCTTCTTATTGCTTCTCAAATCTTTGTGGGTGTGGCCGAAGTCCTATGAGTTTTCGGTTTTGGAGCTTCTAAACAGAAAAACAGTACTTTAGCTTTTGGGATCCGGTTGCGGTTCTAGTTCTTATACCCAATCATAAACACGAGATCTAGTCATATTTGACTCCAAAAACACTAACCAAGCTTCTTATTGCTTCTCAAATCTTTGTGGGTGTGGCCGAAGTCCTATGAGTTTTCGGTTTTGGAGCTTCTAAACAGAAAAACAGTACTTTAGCTTTTGGGATCCGGTTGCGGTTCTAGTTCTTATACCCAATCATAAACACGAGATCTAGTCATATTTGACTCCAAAAACACTAACCAAGCTTCTTATTGCTTCTCAAATCTTTGTGGGTGTGGCCGAAGTCCTATGAGTTTTCGGTTTTGGAGCTTCTAAACAGAAAAACAGTACTTTAGCTTTTGGGATCCGGTTGCGGTTCTAGTTCTTATACCCAATCATAAACACGAGATCTAGTCATATTTGACTCCAAAAACACTAACCAAGCTTCTTATTGCTTCTCAAATCTTTGTGGGTGTGGCCGAAGTCCTATGAGTTTTCGGTTTTGGAGCTTCTAAACAGAAAAACAGTACTTTAGCTTTTGGGATCCGGTTGCGGTTCTAGTTCTTATACCCAATCATAAACACGAGATCTAGTCATATTTGACTCCAAAAACACTAACCAAGCTTCTTATTGCTTCTCAAATCTTTGTGGGTGTGGCCGAAGTCCTATGAGTTTTCGGTTTTGGAGCTTCTAAACAGAAAAACAGTACTTTAGCTTTTGGGATCCGGTTGCGGTTCTAGTTCTTATACCCAATCATAAACACGAGATCTAGTCATATTTGACTCCAAAAACACTAACCAAGCTTCTTATTGCTTCTCAAATCTTTGTGGGTGTGGCCGAAGTCCTATGAGTTTTCGGTTTTGGAGCTTCTAAACGGAAAAACAGTACTTTAGCTTTTGGGATCCGGTTGCGGTTCTAGTTCTTATACCCAATCATAAACACGAGATCTAGTCATATTTGACTCCAAAAACACTAACCAAGCTTCTTATTGCTTCTCAAATCTTTGTGGGTGTGGCCGAAGTCCTATGAGTTTTCGGTTTTGGAGCTTCTAAACGGAAAAACAGTACTTTAGCTTTTGGGATCCGGTTGCGGTTCTAGTTCTTATACCCAATCATAAACACGAGATCTAGTCATATTTGACTCCAAAAACACTAACCAAGCTTCTTATTGCTTCTCAAATCTTTGTGGGTGTGGCCGAAGTCCTATGAGTTTTCGGTTTTGGAGCTTCTAAACAGAAAAACAGTACTTTAGCTTTTGGGATCCGGTTGCGGTTCTAGTTCTTATACCCAATCATAAACACGAGATCTAGTCATATTTGACTCCAAAAACACTAACCAAGCTTCTTATTGCTTCTCAAATCTTTGTGGGTGTGGCCGAAGTCCTATGAGTTTTCGGTTTTGGAGCTTCTAAACAGAAAAACAGTACTTTAGCTTTTGGGATCCGGTTGCGGTTCTAGTTCTTATACCCAATCATAAACACGAGATCTAGTCATATTTGACTCCAAAAACACTAACCAAGCTTCTTATTGCTTCTCAAATCTTTGTGGGTGTGGCCGAAGTCCTATGAGTTTTCGGTTTTGGAGCTTCTAAACAGAAAAACAGTACTTTAGCTTTTGGGATCCGGTTGCGGTTCTAGTTCTTATACCCAATCATAAACACGAGATCTAGTCATATTTGACTCCAAAAACACTAACCAAGCTTCTTATTGCTTCTCAAATCTTTGTGGGTGTGGCCGAAGTCCTATGAGTTTTCGGTTTTGGAGCTTCTAAACAGAAAAACAGTACTTTAGCTTTTGGGATCCGGTTGCGGTTCTAGTTCTTATACCCAATCATAAACACGAGATCTAGTCATATTTGACTCCAAAAACACTAACCAAGCTTCTTATTGCTTCTCAAATCTTTGTGGGTGTGGCCGAAGTCCTATGAGTTTTCGGTTTTGGAGCTTCTAAACGGAAAAACAGTACTTTAGCTTTTGGGATCCGGTTGCGGTTCTAGTTCTTATACCCAATCATAAACACAAGATCTAGTCATATTTGACTCCAAAAACACTAACCAAGCTTCTTATTGCTTCTCAAATCTTTGTGGGTGTGGCCGAAGTCCTATGAGTTTTCGGTTTTGGAGCTTCTAAACGGAAAAACAGTACTTTAGCTTTTGGGATCCGGTTGCGGTTCTAGTTCTTATACCCAATCATAAACACGAGATCTAGTCATATTTGACTCCAAAAACACTAACCAAGCTTCTTATTGCTTCTCAAATCTTTGTGGGTGTGGCCGAAGTCCTATGAGTTTTCGGTTTTGGAGCTTCTAATACGAAAAACAGTACTTTAGCTTTTGGGATCCGGTTGCGGTTCTAGTTCTTATACCCAATCATAAACACGAGATCTAGTCATATTTGACTCCAAAAACACTAACCAAGCTTCTTATTGCTTCTCAAATCTTTGTGGGTGTGGCCGAAGTCCTATGAGTTTTCGGTTTTGGAGCTTCTAAACAGAAAAACAGTACTTTAGCTTTTGGGATCCGGTTGCGGTTCTAGTTCTTATACCCAATCATAAACACGAGATCTAGTCATATTTGACTCCAAAAACACTAACCAAGCTTCTTATTGCTTCTCAAATCTTTGTGGGTGTGGCCGAAGTCCTATGAGTTTTCGGTTTTGGAGCTTCTAAACAGAAAAACAGTACTTTAGCTTTTGGGATCCGGTTTGCGGTTCTAGTTCTTATACCCAATCATAAACACAAGATCTAGTCATATTTGACTCCAAAAACACTAACCAAGCTTCTTATTGCTTCTCAAATCTTTGTGGGTGTGGCCGAAGTCCTATGAGTTTTCGGTTTTGGAGCTTCTAATCGGAAAAACAGTACTTAGCTTTTGGGATCCGGTTGCGGTTCTAGTTCTTATACCCAATCATAAACACGAGATCTAGTCATATTTGACTCCAAAAACACTAACCAAGCTTCTTATTGCTTCTCAAATCTTTGTGGGTGTGGCCGAAGTCCTATGAGTTTTCGGTTTTGGAGCTTCTAATCAGAAAAACAGTACTTTAGCTTTTGGGATCCGGTTGCGGTTCTAGTTCTTATACCCAATCATAAACACGAGATCTAGTCATATTTGACTCAAAAACACTAACCAAGCTTCTTATTGCTTCTCAAATCTTTGTGGGTGTGGTCGAAGTCCTATGAGTTTTTGGTTTTGGAGCTTCCAAACATAAAAACAGTACTTTAGCTTTTGGGATCCGGTTGCGGTTCTAGTTCTTATACCCTATCATAAACACGAGATCTAGTCATATTTGACTCAAAAACCACTAACCAAGCTTCTTATTGCTTCTCAAATCTTTGTGGGTGTGGCCGAAGTCCTATGAGTTTTCGGTTTTGGAGCTTCTAAACGGAAAAACAGTACTTTACACTACAGGAAATGTGGGTATTAATAGCGGCCGAAAAACGCAATTATTCATCTACCATAGCGTTTCCTTAAGCGCTCTGACATCGCCCGTTATAGAAAGTCGGACACTTTTGATAGCGGTTTTTTTGTTGTGCAATAGTTAAGTATACAACGATAGCGTTGTCTTTTGTGCAATTGTTAATGTTTATAATAGCGTGATAAAGCTGTTATTAAAACTCGTTAATTAGATTTTACCTATAGCAAAGATAGCATCTGTTTTGTGTTATTAGTTTGTTTTTAAATTATTCAAAATAATAAATAATTACGAATTATATTTTAATTTAAATATAATATTTGTAAAAAAAAATAAATTTCGAATATTTGTAAAAAAAAAAAATACCATTAAAATGTTTAATAACCCATTTCAATTTTCATTGTTTACAAAAACCACAAACATACCTATCAATCTACCACTAACAAGCCTTCACAATCATCCCTAACATAAACACTATCATCATCAAAAGCTTCATCATCCAAATCATCGACTTCTTGTACAGGCAAAGGTGCACCACCTAAATCCTTTTCTGTTTCCAATTCATGATAGCCTCTAGGTGGTGCTCTCATAACAACATACCAATTTGAATTATCATCTTCCCTAGAATAGAAAACCTGTTTTGCTTGAGAAGGTAGAATGAATGGATCTTTCAAATAGGCTGTTTGGTTCATATGAAGGTTAACAAGAGTGAAACCATCTTCCTCCTTCACACCATTCCCTGTGTTGGCCCAATTGCATCTAAACAGCGGCACTTTGAACATGTCATAGTCCATAAGTAAAATCTCCTTTATCACTCCATAATATGTAAGCACATTAGCGACTTGTCTCATATCTCGAGCACTTGATCTACACATGCTAAATGCTTCATAAGTTATGCCACTGTTTTGTGTCTTCCGCTTAACCGCATCTGTATGAAACCGTTGCCCATTAACGATAAATCCTTTATGTGCTAAAGCAACATTTCTGGGTCCAAATGCCAACCACCTTATCTCCTTAGAATGACTATTTCTTGAGTCTGAATGAATCTGCAACAGCAAAACATGATCAGGAAGCTAACAATTAATCTGTGCCAAGAAAACCAGACATCAAGCTACAAGCTAAGCTAACCAGTCATTAAGCAAAACATGATCAGGAAGCTAACAATTAATCTGTGCCAAGAAAACCAGACATCAAGCTACAAGCTAAGCTAACCAGTCATTAAGCAAAACATGATCATGAAGCTAACAATTAATCTGTGCCAAGAAAACCAGACATCAAGCTACAAGCTAAGCTAACCAGTCATTAAGCAAAACATGATCATGAAGCTAACAATTCTGTGCCAAGAAAACCAGACATCAAGCTACAAGCTAAGCTAACCAGTCATTAAGCAAAACATGATCATGAAGCTAACAATTCTGTGCCAAGAAAACCAGACATCAAGCTAACCAGTCAATTTAACAAGCTGTATAACAAATAATCAAGAAGACAAGTTGCAGCTGTAAACCTTTTTTTTAAGCCATTGTGCAAACTGCTCAGTATGGTTTTTCCATAACAAAGTTTCACTTTTAGCACATCGAGCATCATTAGCTTGTAATTCTTCCAAATGCATCCTGATTTTACATTAAACAACAGTCTTGAGAATGAAATTATAATCATAATTAGTAGATGAGACATAAAGGGTAACCTCTTACTCGACATAAGGATCCAAAGATGCCATGTTCATTAGCACATAGCGATGTGCATTGTCTCTATCTTTATCTGATAGGGTAACTTCTATACCCTTCTGCAGAGGTCGACCTTCAACCACGCTTCTATCAGCCTCAATATCTTCATTGCGATTAACTGTTTCTTGAACTGGTACTGAATCTTTAAGGAACTCTAAACAAAATGCAACGCATTCTCCAGCTAAATACCCCTCAGCCATACATGCTTCTGGCCTTGCATGATTCTTAACAAAAGCCTTAAGTGTTTTCATGTACCTATAACTCAGTCAAGAAATGAATATTAGTCCAATATCATTGCAGTAAATACATATATTGAATCAAATGAGTACATATATCAAACCTTTCAAATGGATACATCCAGCGAAAGTGTACTGGTCCTCCCAAACGTGCTTCTTTTGATAGATGTATTGGAAGGTGGAACATGATATCAAAAAGGGATGGAGGGAAGAAGCGCTCCAGTTGACACATTGTTTCCACAAACTCTGTCTCCATTGTCATAAGTTTCTCCGGGTCGATGATGCGCTGACACAACCTGTTGAAGTAACTGCATAATCTATTTATGGCAATCCTAGGACCCTTATGTAACAACCCTCTTAATGCAGCTGGTAACAAGTTCTGTACTAGGACATGATGATCATGCGACTTTAAACTACCTATATTTGGAGGGGTAACTGAAACACTATTTGCAATATTACCACAATAACCATCAGGACCTCTAAACTTAGATAATCTTTGGCAGAAAATTGTCTTCTCTTTCTTGGATAACCAATAGGCTGCTGGAGGTAAGTATGTTTTCTTTCCCCGGACCTCTGTGTGCAAGTGATTTCTGATTCCAATATCTTCTAAGTCTTTTCTTGCTTTCAAACCATCTTTTGACTTAGCACTTTGCATCAAGATAGACAATATAGCATCTGAGACGTTCTTTTCTACGTGCATAACATCAATATTGTGACGAACAAGCAAATCCTAACACATTAAATAAGAAACTGTTAGGCTTATTCAGATCCAACAATAAGAGAATATAGTTCAAATAGTTTACATTACCTTCCAGTAAGGTAGTTCAAAGAATATTGATCTCTTCTTCCACCGCCATATATCATTTGATTCTTCATACTCTTCTTCTTCAACCACCTCATCTTGATCCAACTCAGTTCTTTTTCTTTTACTTTCCTTATCTAGAGGTTTTCCAAAATCATTCCTAAAAGCTTGTAGTGTCTCATATATTTCAGAGCCAGTTTGTATCCTATTGGCAGTCCCTTCCTCAACAGTGTTGTCAAACCAAGCTTTTTTATATCTGTAACGATGGCCAGGCGGTAGTCTCTTTCTATTCCCCATATAGACAAACTTACGGCTAAACTTAAGCCATCTGGAAGGTGTATGCTTTCCACATACATTGCAAGCTTGTTTCCCTTTCACTTTACATCCAGACAATGTTCCTAAGGCTGGATAGTCACTGATACTCCAAAGCAGCATGGCTCTAAGTGTGAAATTCTCCTTTGCAAATGAGTCATACACTTCAATACCCTCAGCCCACAAATCTTTTAAATCGTCTATCAGTGGTGCCAAGTAAACATCTATGTTATTACCAGGAGCTGTTGGACCAGGGATCAACAAAGTCAACATTATATTCTCAGCCTTCATACACATAGTTGGAGGCGTGTTATAGTTCACCAACATCACTGGCCATGTGCTGTGATTGGTGTTTTGCATGGAGAAAGGGTTCATCCCATCTGTAGAAATTCCAAGTCGAAGATTCCTTGGTTCAGCAGCAAAGTCTGGCCATTTATCATTCACTTGTGCCCACTGGATAGAATCAACGGGGTGTCGCATTGTACCATCTTCAGTACCATTCGTATAGTGCCACCTCAAATCTTCAGCCATCTTTTTTTATCTAAACATCCTCTTAAATCTGTCCTTGATTGGAAAATATCTAAGGACCTTTGCTGGAATCCCAACCTTTATCTCATTACTATGCTTATCCTTTTCCCATCTTGAAACTTTGCATCTTGGACAGCTATCTAACTTCTCAAACTCCTTCCTATATAGTATGCAATCATTCTTGCAAGCATGAATATTTTCATATCCGAAACCAAATATCTTCAGGAATTTCTTGATTGCAGCTAAACTCTTCGGAAGTACATTGTCTTCAGGTAGCATGTCCTGAATTAAACCCAACAGCTGATCAAAGTAGTTCTCCGACACACCACTCTTAACCTTGAATCTGTAAAGTCCCATAATTGCTGAAACCTTTGTGTATTTGATACAATCAGAGTACAATGGAGTTTCAGCTTCTCTTAACTTTTTCCTAAACTCAGTTTCCTCTACTGCTTCATCGTCGTTTGCCTCTAATGCTTCATCATCATTCGTCTGATTTGGTTCACCTTCACCCATAGAAAATGCTGTCTTAAACAAGTCAAATGCCTCTGTTTCATGTTGAGGAGCATTGTCTTCTGTATCTGCTCTTTTTTCACCATGAAAATTCCAACAAGAAGTCTTATACTTCTTATCCATACCCCTAAGCACTAGATGCTCAACAATTTCCTCTATAGACTGATGGCATAAATTGCGGCAATCTCTACATGGGCATAGCATTTCAGACAGATTTCCCAATCTTCTTGCAGATGACTTGGCGAAATTCGTTGCTCCTTCTGAGTACTCGATAGTATTCCTACATTGTCAATTGGAAAAGAATTCAGATTTCTTTCAATCAGATAATATAAGTAAGCTGGATAGAATTAAGTGTATACCTTGGCAGCGAGATCCACGTCTTATCCATTTGGTCACGATGGAGATGAATCCGTTCTGAAATGATGAACTTTTGGTAAAATCGAGTTGGGGAAGTTGTGTTCTCTGAAAATTTGTGTTCTGAAATGATAAACCCTAAATCGAGTTGTGTTGGAAACAATGTGTTGTCTGAAAGTATAAAAAATGAACGGCTGGGATCAAAATTAGTGAAACGAATCAACGGTCTAGGTTCAATAAGCTTGCAATCTCGGTAGTTACTGCTTATTGGCTACGAACATGAATGGCTCAGATCAAATCAGCGAGAGAGATCAACGGTGTATGTTTCGCCTAGAGTGTAATCTCGGTAGTCTTAGCTTATTGGCTAAGAACATGAACGGCTCAGATCAAATCAGCGATACAGATCAAGGGTGTATATTAATCGCGTCAACAATAAGAAAGGACGGCTCAGATCAAAGTCGGCGCGATCTAACGGTGCAGGATTCGTCCCACAATGTGGGAGGTGAGTTCTCATTGGCTAGTAATGAAAAAATTATAAAATTATCATATAAAATTTTTATTAATGAAAAAAATATAAATTATTTCTTTAAAAATACAATATATGTATTTCAATTTTTAGAATATTTTTTCTTATAAGTATAAAATTTTAAAATTAAGAACAATTAATATAGGTTAGTATTCCAACTATCTAACTTATATGTTCATATACACTAAGGCATAGTTTAGGGTTTAGGGTTTAAACTTTGGAATTTAGATTTTTTTACTCAAGTATTTATGTTTTATAGTTTAAACTTTAATTTAGAGTTTTAAAGATTTAATTTAATTAGGATTTTAACTTTAATTTAGGGTTTAGGGTTTAGGGTTTAGGGTTTAGGGTTAGGGTTTAAACTTTGGGATTTAGATTTTTTTACTCAAGTATTTATGTGTTATAGTTTAAACTTTAATTTAGAGTTTAAAGATTTAATTTAATTAGGATTTTAACTTTATTTTAGGGTTAGGGTTTAGGGTTAAGGGTTAGAGTTTAGAGATTTAATTTAAGATTTTAACTTTAATTTAGAGTTTAATTTATACCATAATATTACACAAAGTACCAATACCATAATCTAATATCCATAACCGGCAATACCAATACAATACCAATATCACAATTGGCTAAGTTTCACACAAACTTCACTTTCTCGGTTGGCCAAGGTACAACTGAACCTACTGCATCAGAAATGAACACAAACTCTGAATTTGGCCTCCAGACCTTTGCATTACCAATCTTATTCAAATCTACAGAGACCTTGCTTGCATTTGGACCGAGGGGCACATTATGGCACTTATCTTCTGGATCTGTTGACATCACTCTTCCTTCAGCTACAATACGACCAGAATTGTTGCAGTCCAAAAGAACACACCTCTGCTCTGGACTTTTGGTGGAACTATTGCTGCCTGGACTCTACAACTCAAAGCAAATAATAGAAGCAAGTTCCAACATCAATGAAAGTCCCAACATCAATCAACAGACAAACAAATGAAAAACTTAATTTCAATAACATACCACTGATTTAGTTAGTGTTGGTTCTGGAGTGGCTGCAGCCGTGACATCAATCTTTAGGACTGGCCATGCGATTTTCTCATGAATTGCTTCACCAATTACACTAATATCAGCAGTTGGCCTCCACAAAGGAGCATTAAAATTGAACACCTTCACAACTTGAAGACTAACAGCACCCGGACCTAGAGGAATATTGTTAACCCTCTCTTTGGAGTTAGATGAGCACACGATACCTTCAGCAATAAGCTCATCATTCTCTATATTTTCCCAATCAAATATTTTGCAGCTTCGAGTTTCACCTTCCTTGTTTGGCTAAAATGGAAGAGGCTAATGATTAGATATATATCAATTCACCACAAGAAAATGATATTGGAATTTAAAACTTTACCCCTAAGGATACATCTTCAGAAGTGAATGGAACCCTAAGCACTTTGTCCATTGGCCAAGATATTTTGCATCCAACAGCTTCCTTAAGATATAACACATCTGATGTAGGCCTCCAGAGAGAAGCTGTTGAGCTTAGTACAGAACTAACAATGACAGCCACTGCATTAGGACCAATTGGTATACGACCAATTTTGTACATCGGTTCATCAGAACAGAATTCTCCTTCACCAACAACTACTTCTCTTGAATGAATCCAATCCAGTAGCTGTACTCTATCTCCTACTTTGAATACACCCCTAAGCACTATATGCTCAGCAATTACCTCTATAGACTGATGGCATAAATTGCGGCAATCTCTACATGGGCATAGCATTTCAGACAGATTTCCCAATCTTCTTGCAGATGAATTGGCGAAATTCGTTGCTCCTTCTGAGTACTCGATAGTATTCCTACATTGTCAATTGGAAAAGAATTCAGATTTCTTTCAATCAGATAATATAAGTAAGCTGGATAGAATTAAGTGTATACCTTGGCAGCGAGATCCACGTCTTATCCATTTGGTCACGATGGAGATGAATCCGTTCTGAAATGATGAACTTTTGGTAAAATCGAGTTGGGGAAGTTGTGTTCTCTGAAAATTTGTGTTCTGAAATGATAAACCCTAAATCGAGTTGTGTTGGAAACAATGTGTTGTCTGAAAGTATAAAAAATGAACGGCTGGGATCAAAATTAGTGAAACGAATCAACGGTCTAGGTTCAATAAGCTTGCAATCTCGGTAGTTACTGCTTATTGGCTAAGAACATGAATGGCTCAGATCAAATCAGCGAGAGAGATCAACGGTGTATGTTTCGCCTAGAGTGTAATCTCGGTAGTCTTAGCTTATTGGCTAAGAACATGAACGGCTCAGATCAAATCAGCGATACAGATCAAGGGTGTATATTAATCGCGTCAACAATAAGAAAGGACGGCTCAGATCAAAGTCGGCGCGATCTAACGGTGCAGGATTCGTCCCACAATGTGGGAGGTGAGTTCTCATTGGCTAGTAATGAAAAAATTATAAAATTATCATATAAAATTTTTTATTAATGAAAAAAATATAAATTATTTCTTTAAAAATACAATATATGTATTTCAATTTTTAGAATATTTTTTCTTATAAGTATAAAATTTTAAAATTAAGAACAATTAATGTAGGTTAGTATTCCAACTATCTAACTTATATGTTCATATACACTAAGGCATAGTTTAGGGTTTAGGGTTTAAAATTTGGAATTTAGATTTTTTTACTCAAGTATTTATGTTTTATAGTTTAAACTTTAATTTAGAGTTTTAAAGATTTAATTTAATTAGGATTTTAACTTTAATTTAGGGTTTAGGGTTTAGGGTTTAGGGTTAGGGTTTAGGGTTTAAACTTTGGGATTTAGATTTTTTTACTCAAGTATTTATGTGTTATAGTTTAAACTTTAATTTAGAGTTTAAAGATTTAATTTAATTAGGATTTTAACTTTATTTTAGGGTTAGGGTTTAGGGTTAAGGGTTAGAGTTTAGAGATTTAATTTAAGATTTTAACTTTAATTTAGAGTTTAATTTATACCATAATATTACACAAAGTACCAATACCATAATCTAATATCACAATACCAATATGCTAATATCACAATACAAATATGCTAATATCACAATACAAATATGCTAATATCACAATACAAATATGCTAATTAATATCACAATACCAATATGCTAATATCACAATACAAATATGCTAATATCACAATACAAATATTACACAATCTAATATCCATAACCGGCAATACCAATACAATACCAATATCACAATTGGCTAAGTTTCACACAAACTTCACTTTCTCGGTTGGCCAAGGTACAACTGAACCTACTGCATCAGAAATGAACACAAACTCTGAATTTGGCCTCCAGACCTTTGCATTACCAATCTTAATCAAATCTACAGAGACCTTGCTTGCATTTGGACCGAGGGGCACATTATGGCACTTATCTTCTGGATCTGTTGACATCACTCTTCCTTCAGCTACAATACGACCAGAATTGTTGCAGTCCAAAAGAACACACTTCTGCTTTGGACTTTTGGTGGAACTATTGCTGCCTGGACTCTACAACTCAAAGCAAATAATAGAAGCAAGTTCCAACATCAATGAAAGTCCCAACATCAATCAACAGACAAACAAATGAAAAACTTAATTTCAATAACATACCACTGATTTAGTTAGTGTTGGTTCTGGAGTGGCTGCAGCCGTGACATCAATCTTTAGGACTGGCCATGCGATTTTCTCATGAATTGCTTCACCAATTACACTAATATCAGCAGTTGGCCTCCACAAAGGAGCATTAAAATTGAACACCTTCACAACTTGAAGACTAACAGCACCCGGACCTAGAGGAATATTGTTAACCCTCTCTTTGGAGTTAGATGAGCACACGATACCTTCAGCAATAAGCTCATCATTCTCTATATTTTCCCAATCAAATATTTTGCAGCTTCGAGTTTCACCTTCCTTGTTTGGCTAAAATGTAAGAGGCTAATGATTAGATATATATCAATTCACCACAAGAAAATGATATTGGAATTTAAAACTTTACCCCTAAGGATACATCTTCAGAAGTGAATGGAACCCTAAGCACTTTGTCCATTGGCCAAGATATTTTGCATCCAACAGCTTCCTTAAGATATAACACATCTGATGTAGGCCTCCAGAGAGAAGCTGTTGAGCTTAGTACAGAACTAACAATGACAGCCACTGCATTAGGACCAATTGGTATACGACCAATTTTGTACATCTGTTCATCAGAACAGAATTCTCCTTCACCAACAACTACTTCTCTTGAATGAATCCAATCCAGTAGTTGTACTCTATCTCCTACTTTGAATACACCACTACTCTCACATGTTTCAGTCTCACATGTTTCAGTGTCACAATAACTTTTCTGATATAAGGAAAAGGAATTTTGTTAATGTCTTAAAACCAGACCAATTGACTAAATGTAATGAAAAGGATTACCTTCTTTCCAGCTAAGTTTCTAAACATTCCCTTCAACTCATCAATCTCACTTTTCATTTCTGCCATTTTTGCGTCTCTAGCTTGCATAAACGCTAACTTAGTAGCCGTAATCCCTCTACCAAACCCCCTTACTCGTCCAGGTTTGTCTTTTCCCAAAATCTGGCTCACAGCATCTTCCCTTATGTTATCAGCAGCTGATGTAGAGTCCATTTCACTATCAAGTGATTGTATTTGTTTCTGAGACAAACATTCAAACACAATATTAAAACTCATTGATCATGATGCATTACTTACACACAATATAACAAGTTCCAGAATTCTTACAATAGTCTCAGCAAATTGAGGCTTCACAGGTCTACCATCAGCATGAGTGTGTCCCGCTAACCATACCTTAGTCCTAGTCACCTTACTTGGGTTTGAACTCTTTTTTTTCTATATAAAGTACATATACATATCTCAGTACCATTTTATGCTAACAAGATATACAATATATATAGATATTGACAACTATTATTACCATATCATCAGCTAAACGAACCAATCCTTTGCGGCTGGAGGTTTGAGGAATCTGATCATGTCTCAACTTCCTCATCTTGTTACTTACTTCCTACATTATAAATATGAGTGTGATTAAATCTATAAGACATGACATATAAACATATAAACTTCATACTAACCGTAAAAGCTTTGCTAGTCTTGCTCTTAACCCAAGAGTTCCACACTTGAATGGATGGGATGTTGCTGGGTTTTAAAGCTAGTATATCAGCAGCTGTCTCAGCAGCACGTACTTTTGTCACTAGCCTTGACTTCATACCCCTAAAGATATTACACATTTGCTTCATAATAACAGCTTTTTTCCATTCTTCTTCCATGTCAAACCTCCCCTGCATCAAGTACAACAAGCAAAGGTCAAACATGTTTCATATCTGTTAAACAAAAAATTAGTTGCATATAAATATATACCTGAATTTGTTCCCACAATGTTTCTTTAGTCGCTGCATCAACTTGTCTCCAATCAGAAATTGTAACCGGAATGAATTGACTCACGAGGACACCAAGAAAAGATGATAATCTTACTGAACCAGTTCCAACATGATCACCAAAGTCAGTGAAAGAAACTGAAACCCTTTCATTAGGATTTTCACACTACAGGAAATGAGGGTATTAATAGCAGTACAGTATAGCGTTTTTAAGATTTCTGCTATAGTTGAGTTTTAGGAAAATTTACATAGCGTTTTCAAAAAAGCAAACGCTATGATAGAATGGGCGCGAAAATATTTGATATTGGCGCTTAGTTTTTGGTATAATAATAGCATAAATGACACTAAAACGTCATTGTAGAGGTAACCGGGAAACTGAAAAATTAATTAGCTCCAAAATTTTAGTAAGTAGCAAAACAATAAAAATTTAAAAAAAATAAAGAAATAGAAACAAAATATTGAAGACGTACGAGAAATAGAAACAAATCTAAAAAACTTTTGGCTTCCTCTTCTCTCTTCTTTCTCCCTGAAACTCGATTGGAAAACCCTCACAGCCGATCCCAATTTGTTCGTCTCTTCTTTCACTCTCATCCCTCTCAGTCTCAATTCCTCTCAGTCTCAATCCCTCTAGATCTCAATCGTCAGTTTCATGGATCTACAAAGCCCTCTTAATCGATTTTGGCTCGAATCACAAATTTGGAGTTTGATTTTATTTGTTGCTCGATTTCGTTGACTTAGATTCATGAATAGGTTTAGTTTCAGTAGCTATGGGTTCATAATTTCAATTTTGTCTTACCTATATTGTTCCTCCTTGGTGATGTGATATAGAGTTTGTTAAATCCTCCGCGTTACAGTTTCTATTTTTTGATGGGTTTCTTTTGAATTCTGTGTAACAGGTGTACGGTTTCTCTTGAGGCTTGTTGATGGTTTGAAGAATGAAGAAGATTCGGAACACAAATAGTGCTTGACATAATGGCAATCCGATTCTAGTGATGGTCTTTGACAGTCCACAAAGTGAGTTGGAATTTGCTTCAAAAGTTTATTCATATTGGAACAATTTAGATCGAGAAAGGACTGAAATTTTGGTTTTATTGTTGCAGTTCTTTAGATGGAGCATATTTTTTTCGCAAATTTGGATATGATGCATGACAACTGACAAGAACTCGTAAGTTCCAACCATTGATTTACTTCAAGGAAATTTTCAATTAACCAACCTATGTTTCTTATAGTTTGACTAACAGACTTTAAAATGCTTCTTGAAGGTAGTGTGGAGCCTGGAAAGAGGTAAATGGGTACTAACTCTGGTTATTCTTAGACTAAATCGTGCTGCATTTTATGTCCTATGGAGTCTAAAAGGTAAATGTATCAGTTCCTAAATGTACTGAGTTATTTAGCTTTATTGTTTAGGTAATATATATGTAGTGTACTTTTCTTATAACTTCTACAGCTTCTAATATGTGTTCTCGTTTTTTTGTTCAATACCCTTATAGAGAACCAGCTCAGTGTTTGATCAAAACTCTACTCAATACAGCTCTAAAATTCATAGTTTTGTTCTTATTGGTGGAAGAACTCAATCTCTTATGTTGATTACTTGAGTGTTTGGATGATAAGTAGTGTTTGTTCAATTTTGATGATAATCTTTATTATTTGTTCTTCGCTTTTTGTGACCATGATGATGCTGAGATTGTATATGGGGATGGTGCAGGAAGTTTTCATAAATATAAAAAGGAGGTCGACCCATCTTGATCTTGTTGTGTGATGAAACGATATAATCTTTGTGTGGACGAAGTCTCAAAAGATCAATGCACTTGTTGGAGCTCACATTGTTCAGCCAATCAAGAAAGCTTTGAGCCATTAACAGATCACAATTTGTGGTCTTCGTTAATTTTAATTTTTTTTTTATATACCATTTATCGATTTTTATCTTACAATTTTTTTTGTCTTTGTAAAATACTCAAGTTTAGTTATGTATGTATCAATAAAGAAAAAAAATAACAAATATTTGTTTCTTAAGAAGAACATAAAATGGAATAAAAATGGAAACGAGCCTTTGAGAGGCCAAAAAAAAAAAAGCTCTCTTCTCTCTCATCTAAACCTAGCCGCTCTTTTAGATCTGAGGGAGAGGTCCCTCCTCCGGCAACTTTGTCGGTGTGTCTGATCTCTCCCTCCCCGTCGTTTGATCATCATCGTCAGGTATTGGTTTTCTTTTTAGTGTTCCAGGAGTGAGCAGGGGCTCTGCTCCGTCCGTGGCGGTGTGGATCTCGCCGCCGATATAGTCGAAGATCGGGTGTTGCGGAGGAGGAATCTTGAAGCCGTGATTCCAGGTTTGAGGACGCCGTGGAGGGCTTCGTAGATCCTCAAGGCTCAGCCGTCGTTCCTGTTGAAGCGACTATGGCGGAAGTTGGTGGCGAGAAGGTGGGTTTTGCGGTGTGATGCGGTGGTTAACGGTAGGTCTCCGGATCTGCTCGGCTGACATGGATTTCGTTTTCAGATGGGTTGGCTGAGCCACCACCCTTTGGATCCGCCGTGTTTGGTGCTCACCGGTCCGGTTGTAGTGCTTCTGCTCGGTCTAATCGGAGAGATCTGGTGTGGGGAGGAAGAGGTTAAACTCCAGTGGGTCGGGTTGCTAGGTCGGGACCTGACTCCGGTAGAACCGCCTGTCGAGGTGGCTAAGCTTTCCGGAAGATCTCTGGTGGTTTTGGTGCGTCGGTGGAATGAGTCTTTGTCGGAAGCCGAACTCTTCTGGTAGGGTTCTCGTTCTGCCAAGGCGCCGAGAAGCTGGGGGTTTTAAGTCCGCCGGATCTAAGGTTTCTGGCCACCTTGCAGATGACCATCAGCAGGGTTCGATTTTTCTTCTCCGATCTGGTTTGTTTTTTCCGGTTTGGACCTTTTGTAACTGGGCCATTATCTTGTAAGGCTTATGCCAAGCCCATTTGGGAGATTTTTAATAAATTTTAATATTAAAAAAAAAAAAAAAAAAAAAAAATGGAATAAAAATAATTAAACTACTACAAAACAAAAAATAATAACGAAATTTAGAGAGTTTTTAATTTAGAGTTTAGGGTATAGATAGGGTTTCGGTTTGGGGTTTAGAATAAAATTTTATAATTCTGTTAAGTGTTAACAATAAAAATTAATTTTTATATGTACTTATGAATATTTAATTTAAGGTATTTAAATTCAAAATTGTAAAATAACTTTTTTGCTAATTATCAACGAAGAAAAAATAAAGTATAATAATTTTTTCCAATATTCATTTGTGAATTATACATAATAAAATAAGATAAAAGTTTTTAATAATTTGTTTGCATTTTATTTTGTTAATTGATAAGTAGTAAAAAAAAAATTCAAAATTGAACCCTATACCCTAAACCCTATACCCTAAACCTTCTAGGGTTCAATCTTTAAACATATTTACTATTTATCAATTAACATAATAAAATTCAAAAACATAACAAAATTATATATTACTAAGTACATAAAATAACAAAATTGAAAACATATTACAAATATACAAATTAACAAATAAGAATCGGTTAGTTATAAGTATTTGAAGATTTCATCTATATATATCTAGTATACTATTTGTGTTTAATGGTTTTATTATTCAAACTTCTTTTAACTCTAACTAAATTTAAATCTTATTTAACAATGTATTCTCATTAATTTAAATTATTTTCTATTTAATAATAGTATTTAATTTGTTTTTAATCTGTTTAAAATGGTATAAGAAAATAATTAAGAGCATAGCCAATAGGAAGAGATCACACGGATAGCTGACGTGGCCTATTCTAACACCGTAGGATTAGAGTGTCCGATTTTAATATAGACCATTGATTAGAGTGAATCCAAGGGATACAGATTTTAACCTCTCTTTATTATTTCATTGGCTAAACCATTAAAATAAAGATCACATTGTTTCTAATATGAACCATTGATTAAAATGAATCTAACGGACACAAATTAAACCTTTTGTTTTATCTTTTCTTTTCTCTTTTTCCCTTCATTCTCGCGTCTTATAGTCTTCTCATTCAATCTTCTTCTTCTTCGATTGATTATTCAATTATATCAAATTCTAATTATACCCTGCAATTGAATCGATTATCAAATTAGTTTCAAGTTTGGGATCTCGGCTTCAACCCACGAGAGCTTTGTTTCGAGTAAGCAATTCTTCCAACCTTTGCTTGATTTTCTTTGATTTCGTTTTGCTTGTTTCTACCAGATTCGGTGGAAAATCGCTTTGAGCTCTCTTTCGTTTATATGGGACGCCATTCCAGGTTACCTAAAATCTTCTATTTGGTTGCTTCTTCTTCTATGGCCGTGGCTAAATCTCCGTCGTTACCATTCCAGGTTACCTAAAATCTTCTATTTGGACTTTCTGTTAATGTCGCTTGTAATCATAATTTGATTGATTTTGTTTGGATTGAATGAGTTTGGAATCATAAACTCTTGACTTGATTTGCAAATTGGTTATTTAGGATAGTGAAGGCTAACGGGCTAACGGAATCACAATGTTGTTCTTATAATTAATTGCAGAGAAGGCTAGAGGAGTAGAGGTGCAGATTGACCAGAAGAAGAACTCTAAGCCGTTGAAAGAGAGCCACAAAAGCTGAGAGACAAGCTATTAAAGAAGATGTTTCGAAGAAGAAGAAGTTTCCATCGAAGAAGAAGAAGCGGTAGAAGTCCCTTTTTTGTCTTAAGTTTTTTTTCTTGTAACAAAATTATAGAATAAAGCAAAAAAGCCTAATGGGCTCTTATGAAACCACAAAACAATTCAAGACAACAAACACAATTGGATTAATGTAACTTTTATGTATATAATTACATGTTGTAAAATCAGTTTTTTATATCAATAAATACTATATTTTATTTTCTAATTTATATTAACAAATAACTGAATTAATAATGTATGTAACATGTACAAATACTGTATAAATACAATCTTGTATAAATACACAAAATTCTCTCTATATATATATATATATATATATATATATATATAAATAATTAAATAAATTAATAGCAAATAATAATCGCTATTGTCTATTTAAAGATTGCATATCAAAAAATGCTATGTTATCAGATATCGTAATAGCATTTTAAAAAAACGCTATGTAAAGTGTCAGATCTATTATAACGGGCGCAGACATAGCGCTTTCTACATCGCTGTTGTATCGTAAGATAGCGGTTTTCAGGTGCTAAGAATACCCTTATTTCCTGTAGTGTCAGCCACTTTACGCATCTTTGTTGGTCCTCTTTTTCTTCTTACTTTCACTCTTTCTTCTGGTACCTGACTTCCTTCATCAGTGTTGGTAGGAATCGCTTTATCTTGACCATTGCCAACACCATCTTCTTCCTTATTGGCAACTTCTTCATTATTCGCAGCTACTTCCATAGTGGCAGCTTCTTCTTGATGATACTCCTGCTGGTCCTGTCCAGTCAAACAAGCTTCTTCTTCTATATTGGCAACTTCTTCTTCATCCTCCTCCTGGCCCTGTCCAGTCAAACATCCTTCTCCTTCATTCTCATCTTCAGACATTGCTTTCTCAGTCTGATCAGCCTCCGGTGTTATATCTTTGTCATTACCCTTTTCTTCTTCCACAGCTTATGGTGTTACATCTTCTACCTCATCATCTACAGCAGCCACTTTCGGTGTAACATCTTCTACCTCATCATCTACAGCAGCCACTTTCTTGGCTCTAGTACTACTTCTTCTCCGAGCCACTTTATTTGCTGTTTTCTTCTTATTCACCTTCTTATTAACCTTTAGTGTTGTTGCAGGAGCAACATCTTCTACCTCCAAGCCTTGATTACGCCTACTACGACGAGCAGCAACTTGACCTCCTCCTCTTGTCTTTGCCATTTTCTGAAACTGATGAAGAACAGTTTCAATCAACATAAAATCGAAACCAAAAATCATAATCAAAACCCAAACTTCGACATGCATGTTACCTGAATCTAAGAATTAAAACCCAAAATCAAAATCGATTTCACAATTGAAACAATATATGTGCCAGACTTCGACATGCATGTTAACTAAGTGTGAGAATGAAAACCCAAAATCAAAATCGATTTTGAATTCCAAATTCAAAATCGATTTCACACAACCCCAAATCAAATTGGTTTTCCAGAGAACAAAGAAATTAAATGGCTCAGATCGAATGAGAACATACCTGTTCGAGATCGATAGAAACCGACTTAGATCGAGAGATCTCCAGTGAGATGAGTTGCAGATTTTTTTTGTTCTCTGTTAGAGAAGTCGAGAGAAGAAGTTAGATTTTTTTTTTGCTTTAGGGAAAAAATGAAAAAGTTAATTTTCTTGTTTTCTTTTATTTTGCCTTAGACAAAATTTCACAATTTTCCCTCTTAACATTTTCAATAGCGGGAAATAGACTTTAGTAACCCGAAAATTGGCCGCGTGAATTGCATATATCCCGCTTCAATCATTTATAACGTTTACAATTCAGAAAACGCTATCTATTAAGTAAAACATAGCAGAGACATAAAAAACGCTATCTTTTAGTGCTATCAATACCCACATTTCCTGTAGTGTTAGCTTTTGGGATCCGGTTGGGGTTCTAGTTCTTCAACCCAATCATAAACACAAGATCTAGTCATATTTGACTCCAAAAACACTAACCAAGCTTCTTATTGCTTCTCAAATGTTTGTGGGTGTGGCCGAAGTCCTATGAGATTTCGGTTTTGGAGCTACTAAACGGAAAAACACTACTTTAGCTTTTGGGATCCGGTTGCGGTTCTAGTTATTATACCTAATCATAAACACAAGATCTAGTCATATTTGACTCCAAAAACACTAACCAAGCTTCTTATTGCTTCTCAAATCTTTGTGGGTGTGGCCAAAGTCCTATGAGTTTTCGTTATTGGAGCTTCTAATCAGGAAAACAGTACTTAAGCTTTTAGGATCCGGTTGCGGTTCTAGTTCTTATACCCAATCATAAACACGAGATCTAGTCATATTTGACTCCAAAAACAATAACCAAGCCTCTTATTGCTTCTCAAATCTTTGTGGGTGTGGCCAAAGTCCTATGAGTTTACGGTTTTGGAGCTTTTAATCAGAAAACAGTACTTTAGCTTTTGGGATCCGGTTGCGGTTCTAGTTCTTATACCCAATCATAAACACGAGATCTAGTCATATTTGACTCAAAAACCACTAACCAAGCTTCTTATTGCTTCTCAAATCTTTGTGGGTGTGGCCGAAGTCCTATGAGTTTTCGTTATTGGAGCTTCTAATCGGGAAAACAGTACTTAAGCTTTTAGGATCAGGTTGCGGTTCTAGTTCTTATACCCAATCATAAACACGAGATCTAGTCATATTTGACTCCAAAAACACTAACCAAGCTTCTTATTACTTCTCAAATCTTTGTGGGTGTGGCCGAAGTCCTATGAGTTTACGGTTTTGGAGTTTCTAATCAGAAAAACAGTACTTTAGCTTTTGGGATCCGGTTGCGATT